TGCAGGATCTCATCGACGTCGAACCATAGAAAAGTCTGTTCGTACTCGTGAAGCCTGGCGCGCCGGCGTAGTCCTCCGAATACGCCCCTTGCCGCACCATCTCTGTGAAGAAGTACCGGGCTTCCTGCGGAGAAGAGAGAACAATCCCCCGGTCGGGTTCGTCCGGGGGTTCATCCCAAAAAGCGCGTGGCGGAGAGCAGAGTGGTTCCGCATCCGCCGGCGCCGCCTCGTCCGGTGTCTCCTCGAATTGCTCCAGCCAGGCGACTGTGTCATCCACGTAGAGTAGCTGCGTGAAAGCTGCTGTCCCCGGTCTCTCAAGGGCATCAACTCGCAGTCGCAGACCGGTTCTTCGTCGTCGTTCCGGCAGCGTCGGCCTCGGGGGGCCGTCATCGTTGTCAGATTCCCCTGAGTCTTCATCCTCCCCTTCCGAGCAGGCTTCCAGTTCTGGGACGTCATCGTCAGAGTCTTCCTGATGGTCACCGACGGCGCGAATGCGCGCGGAAGATCAGTAGAGCCCTGATTCAAAGCCATCTCCGCTTGTCCGTTTGAATACGGGGCTACGGGTTGTATCACTCCGAGGCTAACAAAGCCCTCCAGGACTTGCGCTAGCGTTAGCGGATCCGCTGTGTCGGGCGAAGCCTCCTCCATGGCAGCTACCAAAGCTGCATCATGCCAATCTTCCTCTGCCCCTTCATCGATGTCGGAGAAGTCAAGGGAGTCTTGGTCGTCGTCACTATCGGCAAAAGTGGCGCGGACTAGTCCACCGAAGCGCGGCGCTGTTGGTGTGTCCAGCGGCGCTTTCGTCGGAGGCATCGCCAGGGAGGGTCTCCTCAACCGTGATTAGTGACGTCACGGGGTCATCACCAATCTCCGCTTGCAACTGGGGCTTGGTGTCCGGTGGTAGCAAGCGGGGCATCCCGTGATCAGAGGCGTCGTCATTGCCTGTCGCGTCGCGCTTAAGCGCGCTTTCCGCGCTCTGCGAAGACTCGTCCCCGGTTTCTGAGTCGGAGCTGTCTTCGTTGTTTCCTGCAGAACAATTGGTGTCATAAGTCGGCGGACTTTGGGGACCTGCAGGGGTTATGGTGACGCGGCGCCAGCATTCAGGGGGGATCCCTGCAGGGATTCCCTTCATGCGCAGCCGGCGAAGGTTGTAGACCATGGCCACCTGTGGAAGTTCCTCGATCCCCTCGCTAGTTGTTGGCGAGGGGGCCTTCCCAGGGGCCTTGTCGCCGGGGGGAAAGGGGCCTGCAAAGGGGGCCATTGAGGGAACCTGCACTATTTGTACCTGTGGGATTGGCTTCCCCCGCTTTGGCGGGGTGATGAGGTTCAGCGCCACCACTTTGTGAGTGCGGGGGAGTTGGAACTCGAACCGTCCTTTCGGAAAGTTAATTACGCCGTTGACTTTCTTCATCGAAGTAGTCCCCAGAAGGACATCATAGTTCAGGTTTTCCTGCACAAGGAAACGCGCGCAGCGCTCCATGTGGGGTGCCGAGCCCAATTGCGCAGTCAATCCACCCCGCAGCTGTGCTGCTTCGCCCATCAGCCTGCAAGAAAGTAGGGGCGCCACGGCGGAACTTGTGCTCCAGCCCGGCGGCCTTTACCGTTTCGAGTGACATCACGTTGACGTCAGCCCCGGAGTCCATGCAGGTTGGTCTCTCGATCCCTCGTACTCCGCCCACTCGTGTGACCACATAAGCGATGCTCTCGCGCAGGAGGGGGTCCACAAAGGCTCGCTCGACTCCGAGAGCTCGTTCTCTCCCCAGCTCCGGCGGCGGCACAGTGGTTGCGTTCCGCACCACTGGTTCATTTGTGACGTCAGCACAGTTGTTGCTTGCCTGCCCCACTTTCTTGAGTGCGCGGCTCATATCCTGCAAGAGTTGAGGGCTGCCGTGCGCCAAGTAAGCCTCTGACTTGAACCAGCTCATAGCGGAAAAGTTCCGGTGACGGAGGGACAAGGAACTGGCGGGTTGGAAGTGGCCCGCCCCGTCGCGTTTTTGAAGTACTTGGTGCGATTCCTCGCGGCCTTCCGTTGGGCTGAAGAGAGGCGGCGCTCGGCGCCAGCTGACTCTGAACGCCCGGCCTGCGGAGATCGCGGCCCGGATGTGGCGGAACTTGCATGGGTACCACCGGCATCGTGGTGGCCACCGGCACCCTGTTGGCCGGCATGCGCACGCGCGCGCCATAGGGGTCTAAAACCTCTGGGCCGCTGCGCGTCACGCGAACGTTCCCAAAGCCCTCTTCCTCGTAAGAATCCTCGTCGGAGAGGTCGAGTTCGGGCTCATGCTCCCAGCCAATGGGTCCTGTCGCCAAGTTGACTTTGGGACCCTCGACTGTTGAGGACGAAGATCGAGGGGGCGGCGCGCGCGCTCTCGTGCGCGGTCGTTTCGGACACGCCGGGGCGAGGTGTGGTTGAACCGTTCCCCTGGTGCCGCACTCGCAACAACGTCGCTCCTTTTGGGGCGCCTGAGGGGTGCTGTTGGTCGGTACCTGCAATGGGGGGGTTTCCGCTCCCCATCCACTTTCAAAAGTGGAGTGGAGGACCACCGAAGGCTCAGTCCTCGTAAACAGTCTCCGCGTCACAGTCGTCGTAACCGTACTCCACTTCCTCGCCATTAGCCCACCGCGCCGTGTTTTTCTGAGGCTCGGGGCAATCCCTCTGAACGTGCCCTGTTTTCAGGCAGTTAAAGCACGTTTGGGGTTTGGTCGGAGGAAAGTTTGGTCGGTTCGACTGCGGAGGGCGTTCGCCTCGTACTCCTCCGTTTCTGTCAGGGTAACGGCCTGCTGCCAATTGGCGCGGCTGCTCCTGCTGGGTGTACCTGGCGGTCTCCATTTTGTCGTCCTGAGGGCGCTCCGAATCTGCTTCAGACACCCGGTCGGCCTCCGCCACGCGAACCTGATTCGCAGCGCGCGCAGTAATCCGCAGCGGCGCCGCCTTCGTGACGGGGGCTTTCTCCATTGCCCAGAGTCCTCTGTCCAGTTCCTCCGCAATGTCCACAGCTTCTTCAAACGTGGGTGCTCCGCGAGTGTGAAGCTGTTCGCGCAGTGGGCTGCGCAGAGACATCTTGAAATGGTGTATCTTGACTTGTTCGTTGGAGATATCTGCCTGCACGAAAAGGTCGCGCAGCCTCTGCGCGAGCGTCCCCACCGCTTCGTCCTTGCCCTGTTGCACCTGCCCAAGCTTGACAGTGCTCTCCGCGGGGTCGGACTTGCCGAAACGCGCGAGGAACTTTTCCTTTAGAGTGTCCCAGTGATTCAGCAGGGAGTCGCCAGTCTTGTCCATGTAGGCGTCGTCTGCAGACTAGATCCAATCATGAGCCACCTCCCCCAAGTTGTGGAAAAGGGTGAGGCCCATTTGGCCCTGCGTAAGACCGGGAGTGTTCCGAAGGTAAGTCTCCATGCGCTTAATAAAGCGATGCGCGCCGAAGCCTTCGTCCTTCTTAGTCCCCTTGTAGGTGATGATCTTGATCGGTTGAAACAACCGAGGGGTGCGCCTGCTTCCCTCCGGATCTTCGGTAAACCGGCTCTCCTTTCGTCGTTCCTCCGGCCGAGGAGTTGTCAGGCCGAAGTCGTCCGAGCCCCCTGGCGAGGGCGGGGGGCCCGGAGAGGATGCCACCTGTCTTGGCTGGGGCGGGGGAGGGTTCCCTGCGTCCGCCTTCCTGTATGACGTGAACCTGCGCGTTTGCTCGATTGGTTCTGAGCGGCGCTGGTTCCGGCAGTTGATCCGCCCTCTCAAAGGGGGAGGCTTTGATGGGCTCCCAGTTCGAGGTCTCCCAAACTCTTGCCACATCCTTTCGGACGTTCTGGGGCGAGGTACCTGCTCTGGCGCTGCCACATGTCCCATTTGTCCGTTAGGAGCGTTGTCAGGCGGCCGCGCTTCCCTTTGTTAAGGGGAAGAGGCCTGCGCCGAGTCGCTCTTGTCCTGTCGTGGAATATTCTGGGATTCCCAGTTCGGACCGGATAGGCCCGCACTGAATTCCTGTTTCTCTTTTTTCCACTTCATGAATTCCTGAAACTTTTGGTACTCCTCCCAGTCTTCGTCGAAGGCTGAGGAATACCCATTCCACGAGTTAGTCTCTCGAGGAGGCCTTGGGGGAAGTGACCTTCCCTCAGAGGCACTTTGTGTTCTGAGTTCCCTGCGCGACGCTCTGTTGGCGGTGCCATCCCTGCAGTGTAAACTGTGAATTGGTCTCGCCGGCGAGGCCTTTGCCTCCAGCTCGGTTAAGAAGACCACCTCCCTGAAGTGGGGGAACCTCATTTTCCTGCCCCTCCAGTCGCTCCGCCGCGCGGGGCAAACGGTTCACCTGCAAATTCGGAACTCTCTGGTTCCTA